GGTGCAGTGCAGGGAGGCAGTTGGAGGCAGTGCTGGGGTACAGTGGGGAGTGCAGTGCAGGGAGGCAGTGGGGGCGCAGTGCGGGGAGTGCAGTGCAGGGAAGCAGTTGGGGCAGTGGCAGGGTACAGTGGGGGGTGCAGTGCAGGGAGGCAGTTGGGGGTGCAGTGGCGGGGTACAGTGGGGGTGCAGTTCAGGAAGATAGCGGGAAGGGGCAGTGGGGGTGCAGTGCGGGGAGGCAGTTGGGGCGGTGGGGAGGGTACAGTGTGGGGGGGTGCATAACAGCATTGATTCATGTTTAGGATTTCTCAGACTCTGCTCTTGAAAACTGACACACAACTAATGCTCATCTTCTAATATACACAGTATAGCAGCATTAGCAAAACATTAAATTCTTAGATTTAAATGACATTTCTATATTTTGAATTTTCTACAGCCTTACAGTTGTTTGTTTTATTTAACTGTCTTTATTACACCTCTCTTAGTGGCTTCTTAAGAGCAAAAATTGCTTGTTTGTTCTAGACTGATACCTGTGAGCTGTTAGAGTTAATAATAAGATATATGAATTTGGTGTTTAAGCAATAACATTCTCCTAAAGACCCTCACTACAAACTATGCCACCCTAAGGTGTCGTGCCCAAAATTCTGTTTATCCTAATTTTGGTCTTTACTTTTTTTCATCTAAAAATTCTTGTCAATCCGTAACATACTAAATAAAAGACAAATTGAATCCAGCACTATAATGAAAGCCGTATCTAAGGGTTAAACTCTCCTTGGTTTATGATTTAAATTCCTAATTATTAGTGAACTACGACTAAAAGAATATTTGTACAACATGGGAAAGAAACTATGCCTCCAAGTGGCCATCAGTAGACGATGGACAAAGAAGAAGTGGTGCATACATACAATGGAGTGTCACTCAGCCATAAAAATAGTGAAACCTTACCATCTGTGACACATGGATGGACCTAGAGGGTATTGTGCTAAGTGAAACAGTGAGACAGAGAAAGACAAACACCATATGATCTCACTTATATGTGGAATCTAAATAACAGAATACACGAATAAACAAAACAGAAACAGACTCATAGACACAGAGAACAAATGGACGGTTGCCAGAGGGGAGGGGGGTTGGGGGGCTGGGTGGAAAGAGGAAGGGGTTCAGCAAAAGTTGGTAGTTACAGAATAGTCACGGGATGTAAAGTCCAGCATAGCGAATAGAGCCAATAATATTGTAATAACTGTGGTGTCAGACGGGGACTAAACTAATCAGGGGGATCGCCTCATAAGTTACCTGTATGTCTGACCACTACGCTGCACCTGAAACTAATATAGAATAACACTGAATGTCAACTGTAACTGAAAATAAGTAAATAAATAATATTTCTAAATGAAAAAAAAGTCTCAAATAAAATTCAGCATTTTTAATAAACTACTAGAAAAGTCCTCACTTGATGAGGAGGACGAAGGAGAAAACTACTAACAACGCTGTCATTTAACATCGTCACTCCAGCCACTGCAGTAAGATGAGAAACAGAAATGCGAGACACAGCCCAAGAAGCAGCAACACTTTCACATACAGTGACCCACCGGAAGTCGGCTGGTAAAACCCGTGATCCAGATTGAAGTGACCAGATACTCCCGCACATGTAGACCAGTCTGAAGAACAAGACCCGTTCCTGGTGGCCCGTGGCCCCATAAAACATGCCAGGACCTGATGACCAGGACAGGCAAGTGCGTACGGAGAAGGACCAGACAGATGCGAGACGCTGCCTCATGACAGCGACACGTGTTCAGCACAGCTCGGCCCAGTCCCGGCGTCGGGCCGCGTGGTTTTCCTCCAGCCTGTCCTTGGACCTTCAGGACTGGCTGGCAAGGCGATGCTCGTGAGTCACAGCAACTCGGAGATGACAGCGGGAGGCTCGGGCAGGTCGACTGAGGAAAGAAGGGCCTTCAGATTCTCCTCCCAGCTGCATCGAGCTAATGGGAAGAAAGTTTAAAGAATAAATCTAACTCCACCAGAAAGCACGCAGAAGTGCCAGCAGCGGGCCCAGAATTGGGCTTATTTCTGGGATTCATTTGAGGAGCAGTCGGAGCAAAGTGGACCCAGACTCGGAAGGGTCCTGAAGAGCCCCGGAGCTGAGTTAGGGCTGGCAGGTGTGCGGAGAGGCAGGCGTGGGGTCGTGGCTCCGTGGCGACATCACCACCCAGCTTATGAGGCCAGCAGCCCCCATCAATGGTAAGACTCACAGAAAGCAGGCGTCCGCGGGAGGAAGCAGAGAACCGGGGTGAACAAGAGGCTGCTCCCAGAGAAAACTAATTCAGTGAGCTTTGCAAAGAAACCCAAAAGAACCATCAGGAAAATTGCAGAATTATACGGAGCTCAGTTACACATATAACTCGGTGTCAGAGTCACACTGCATTTCCGTGTACCCTCAACAGCTGGGACACTTCATTGTAAAAGTGCCAGTGAGACTAGAATGGTACCAGGAAGAATGATGTCATTAAGAACAAACTGCAGCAGTGGATGTGGAGGGTGGGTCTCCTCCCAGAGGGCCCTCGGAGGAGGGTGTGTTGCTGTGACCGTCTTTCGGGGCCACGCTGGGTTAGCCTCAGTGTGCAGACCGGAGGGGGCGGGGGGCGACTGTCCTCATCTCAGCTCCGCCTGCAGGCCCCAGGGCCTCAGTCCCGCCCACGCTCCGACTCTGAAAACACACTTTACACACAGCTGGGTAGAGGCCGTGGACAGACCTGGGGCCGGGTCTTCATCCCTCACCAACATGTGACCTTGGGCACATCCCCTCAGCCTCTGCACAACACCATTGGCGTCGGCCGGGAAGGTTTTGTGGTGGCAGCAGGAGGGACTGCATGGCCAGGCACACACACAAGTATTACAAGTCCTGGTCGGATTCCAGGAACTCCACATGTGCCCTCCGTGCCCAGTGTCCCGGTAAGACGGGCACACATCTGGTGTTTCCTCGCACGCGTGTTATTCCAGGAACTTGAGTCATTGTGCTGTTTCTAGAATTTTCTACTCCTTACTGTGATCATATGAATAATTCAGCTCTCTGCTCCCCCCTTCAGGATGGAAGTCAGAAATTGGTCAGGTTTTAGCAGTCACCGTGGTGGCTTCTGTCACCATCCAGCAGAGGGTCTGACAGGCGGTGGTTGTTGGGTGGAGGTCTTGGTGTCAGAGGGAGGGGCCCGCGGTTTGCAGACATCTTCCAAGTGGCCTGAGTCCAGCTGAAGTGACTAAGGAAGAGCTGTGTCTGAGGAGCCCATGTTCTGACGTCACTGTCAGGTGGTCCCTCACAGGTCCATAAACTGGGCGCGTGCTCCCAGCAGCTTTTTGACGAGCCGCGTCCATCAGTGCCTCTGTCGCTGGCTGCAGCTGAATGGGAGCGGGGCAGAAGGCGACACCCTGTGATGCCTTCCCCCTTCCTTCTTGTGGACAAGAGAGCAGCGCAGTGTAATTAGTCTTGATTGGAGTGTGCATTTCCGGTAAGATCTGAAATTAATGATGTTGCTATAGTGACACATCTGTGGCCACCCGTGCGTGAAACATAAAGTAATTCATTCGACAAGAGGAGACATCTGTTCAGTGCCAGGATGCAGACGTACTGACACTGACCAGAAATACTAGACGTAATGTGATAAATGAGCAAATGATGCTGAAACCGGAGGACAGGCCATTTGTACTTAATCTGCTGGGAGAACTTCAATCTTCTCACTGTGGCCTTTGACAATGTCATTGTTTAAAGAACAATGCTGTGGAGAACTCATAAATTTTAAAACGGAACTCGGGTGCAGTATGTTAAAGCCGTACTTTTATTCCTTCGTTAGGGAGTTGTTGTCTACATGTAGAACAAAGCCATCACCGAAAACACCATCGAAAGGACAGGATGCACATTTTAATTGTAGCATCCGTTACCCAAAATGCTGTGTGGCTTGGACTTGAATCACATGTACGCTTCCCAGGACGGCGCC